TGAAAGTGTCGGCCAGATCTGGGGAGACGGATTGGGCAACTGCACACAGACGCTTGGGGCATGTGGCAATGCCCTTATTGAAGCAGTTGGAGAAAGATGGAGCTGTTAAGGGTCTGAAGCTGAACGGACAGCCACCTGATGAGAATTGTGAAATATGTTTGCTCTCAAAGTTTACCCGTTTCCCCTTCCATAGTGTGGCTGGCAGGAGCAAGAAGCTGTTGGAGCTGGTCCACATGGACTTGGTGGGGCCGCTGCCGGTTCAGGGACACAAGGGGGAGCGGTACTTTCTGACCATAGTGGATGATTAGAGCAGGCTTATGTGGGCATATCCGCTGAAGCAGAAGGACCATGCCGCCTCTACGATACGGGAAGATTGGCTGCCATTCATGGAGAAGCAAGCGGAGTGTGTGGTGAAGCGAATTAGGACAGATTGGGGTGGTGAGTTCCTTGGAGCTGAGATGACGGCCTGGCTCAAGAAGCAGGGCATCCAGAGGGAGCTGACCACGGCTTACACCCCACAGTCCAACAGTGTAGCAGAACGGGCGAACCGGACAATTCTGGAGACAGCTAGGGCGCTGCTCATAGAATCTGGGTTGGGCAACTCCATGTGGCCCCATGCTGTTCGGCACGCTACCGTCGCTAGGAACAGGGTACTTACAAAGGTTGGGGATGACTCGTGGGTGCCGTTGGAGAGGTGGCTTGGGAGGAAGCCGCCGGTGGACATGCTGAGGGTGTTCGGTTGCATGGCAGTCGCCCACGTCCCCAAGACCTACCGCAGTAAGTTGGGGGCGAGTGCAATCTGGTGTGTGCATTTGGGGCTGGCTGCTGAGAGCAAGGGATGGCTGCTGTGGGAACCTTCCAAGGGTGTGTTGTTTGACAGCAGGGACGTGAAGTTTGTTGAGGGCATGATGTATGGGAGCTGGGAGAAACAGCCGGAGGCCAGGGTGTCCCAGCAAATGGAGCAGATCACCATGCAGCTGGACCTGACTCCTAGTGTGTGGGAGGAGGGAGAGGAGGCAGCTGCAGAGGGTGGTGATGGAAAGAAGGTACAGGAGGCATCTGCTGGTGGAGAAAATGATGTGGAGACTGGCACTAGTGGAGCTGCTGGATCTGAGGGGAAAGAGCAGCAGCTTGGGACCGAGGAGGCATTGCTGATTCTACCGCATGGCTATGATCTGGATGAGGAGGATGAACCTGCCTACTGTTTTCTTGCCCTTGCACCAGAGGAACCAGCTAGCATGGAGGAGGCATTAGCTGGCCCAGATAGGGAGAAGTGGCTGGTTTCCAGGGATGCTGAGTACCAGAGCCTGCTAGAGAATGGGACATGGGAGCTGGTGGTGCTGCCTGAGGGGAAGAAAGCCGTACAGTGCAAGTGGGTGCTAAGGATCAAGACCGATGACAAGGGACAGGTCACCATCTACAAGAGTAGGCTGGTGGCTAAGGGGTTTATGCAGAAGGAGAAGCGGGACTTCAATGAGATCCTTGCTCCCACTGCCAAACCCCCTACCCTCCGTGTCTTGTTGGCAGATGCAACCATTAGTGGGAAATTCATCATTCAGATGGATATATCAACGGCGTTCCTCAATGGGATTTTAGAGGAGGAGGTATTCATGACGCAGCCACCTGGGTATGAGGATGGTACGGGCAGGGTGTGCAAGCTGAAAAAGTCCATCTACGGCTTGAAGCAGGCGCCACGCTGCTGGTACCAGAAGTTGGCAGCTGTTTTAGAGGAGGTGGGATTCAGGACCAGCAGCTGTGATGAGAGCCTTTTTCTCAAGGGGGAGAAGCTGGTGCTGTTTGTGGTCTATGTGGACGACATTCTTCTCTTTAGCAGCAGCATGAAGGAGATCCAGAAGGTGCAGCAGCAGCTGATGGAGAACTTCAAGTGCAAGAACCTTGGGGAGGTAAAGTACTATCTCGGGATGCACGTGGAGAGGGATCTGGATCACAGGTGGTTGAAGCTGCACCAGGAGAAGTTCATCAAGGAGCTTGGGGAGAAGTACGGGATTGAGAATAAGCGCAAGGTTGCAACTCCCCTGCCAGCAGAATTCAAGCTTGTGAAAGCTGCAGAGGATGAAGGGGTTGAAGCCGAGGAGCAGCAGCAATTTCAGTCCTTGGTGAGCAGCCTCTTGTATGCAGCAGTTCACACAAGGCCCGACATCTCTTTCTCGGTTGGGCAGCTGGCTAGGGTGGTGCAGAATCCATCAGAGGAGCAGGTGGATGCAGCTGAGCGTGTGGTGAAGTATCTGAACTCTCACCCAAGCATTGGAGTTCAATACTCCGCATCTGCACAGGTGAAGCAGAAAGGGGTTGAGATGCTGAAAGAGAAGGGGGAGAGGCTTGGAGAAGGCAAGCTCTTTCTCACTTGCTTTACCGATGCTACGTGGGCCTCTGGGAAGGAGGATTCCTCATCTGTGGGAGGATACATCTGCGTAGTTGGAGGAGGACCTGTTAGTTGGAGGTCAAAGAAGCAGACGGAGACAGCACTCTCTTCTGTGGAATCAGAGTACATGGCGATGTTCCATGGGGTGAAGGAGGTGATTTGGTCCAGGAGGCTGTTAGAGGAGATTGGCCAGGAGCAAAAGGTTGCTACGCCACTGTTTAGTGATAGCAAGGGAGCTCTTGGGATGGCCAGGAACGCTGTGCTTCATGGGCTGAACAAGCACATGCGTATCAAGTGGCACTGGCTGCGTAAGGAGGTGAAGAGGGGGACGGTGAATCCGATCTACATCAAGACTCACCAGCAGCCAGCAGACTTCCTCACCAAGAGGCTTGCGGATGAGCCTCATTGGCGTTGTATGCGGATGAGTGGAAAAAGCATGAACTAGTATGGAATGATGGGGATGCAGCCGGCAAGCTGAGGGGGAGTGTGTTGGGTGCAAATTCACATTGCACGACATCCTGCCGTCTGTTTGTATGAGTATGCGTGTGCGAATGCATTTGGGTGTGAATAGTATGTTCGTGTGTTTGTTTGCTTTCGCAATTTTGGCTTGAAGCATTTGCAGGTACTCGCGCATTATGCGCTTCGGCACAACATTGTACGCGCTATGAACAGTACAAGCAGAAAGGACGAGCTCACAAAGGAACCCAAGATGGAAGCTTTGCGGTTCGGTTAAATTGATTGTGCAGATTCAGTTCTATCCAACTCGAAATTGTACTGTTTTGTTTGGTTGACTATAGTGTAGCAGGGCAGGCACTATAGAGGTACAATTTAGGTGAAGATTGGATGTTGTTTGTCTGTATCTGCATGCTACAGGGCCAGGGGAAACCAGCGGAACCAGCATTTGGCTGGTTGGGCAAAGACAAAACAGGTTCTGTTTTTAGGACCTGAACCTGGTTGTTGTTTTGTCAGGTTGAAAAAACAGAACCAGAGGTTGTTTACCAACCTACCACCTGCTGTTTTGTCCAGCCAGGTTGGTTCTGTTGCTTGGAATTATTTGGGATCATCCCTGGTTCTTCCCAGGTTCATTCCCAAGGTCCTTGCTAGCTAGAACTATTTATTCCTTCTCTGTTTGTTCCTGAAAATAGTGAAATTGATTCAAGCGAATTCCTTCCTTGCTGGAATTTCCTTTCTACGCGGTGCGACGGCCGAATGCTACCCGAGTCAACGCTAGTATGCTAGCACTCCAACTTTTCGCGAGGCAACTTGGCTTATTTTAAAGCTCTTAGAGTGAGCTTCGATATAGGAAATTCTCAGCTTATTCCGATCAACGGTCTGCATGATACGCTGCGCGACATTCAAGGTACTCTTGCTGTTTTGACTAAGTCCCTCTTGATCCCTCTCTCTACAAACTCGGACCTGAGAATAGGGGCTGGTCTTGTACCAGGCACCCAAGGACCCGTGGAGGTGACCCCGAGGAGAGGTTTTAAGTTTGATAAAGTCTTAATAGCTTGAGTTTATTAGGCCCTTACACCAACAAGGGCCAGGGGAAACCAGCGGAACCAGCATTTGGCTGGTTGGGCAAAGACAAAACAGGTTCTGTTTTTAGGACCTGAACCTGGTTGTTGTTCTCTCAGGTTGGAAAAACAGAACCAGAGGTTGTTTACCACCTACCACCTGCTGTTTTGTCCAGCCAGGTTGGTTCTGTTGCTTGGAATTATTTGGGATCATCCTTGGTTGTTCCCAGGTTAATTCCCAAGGTCCTTGCTAGCTAGAGCTATTTTTTCCTTCTCTGTTTGTTCCTGAATATAGTCAATTTGATTCAAGCGAATTCCTCCCTTCCTGGAATTTCGTTTATACGCGCTGAGACAGCAGAATGGTACCCGAGTCCACGCTAGTACGCTAGCACTCCAATGCTAGGCAAACGCTATTCAAGCCATAAGTTTGTAATGGCAGAACTTTTCGCGAGGCAACTTGGTTTATTTAAAAGCTCTTGGAGTGAGCTTCGATATAGGAAATTCTCAGCTTAATCTGGTCGTCCGTTTGCACGATACGCTGCGCGACGTTCAAGGTACTCTAGTTATTTTGACTAAGTCATTCTTGATCCCTCTCTCTACAATCTCTGACCCGAGGATAGGGGCTGGTCCTGTACCAGGCACCCAAGGACCCTTGGAGGTGACCCCGAGGAGAGGTTTTAAGTTTGATAAAGTCTTAATAGCTTGAGTTTATTAGGCCCTTACACCAACACCACCTATAGCAGCAGCCTCACCAGCACCTAGAGCAGCGGCATCAATGCCCGGGTCAGGCGGTATTCACAGGTAACAGGCACCCTCAACACTAGTATCGTCAGCATATATAGCAGCAAGAATAGCATCAAAGTCAAGATCAAAGATAGCAACCACGGCCTTAGTCAGATCTCTCCAACGAAAGATCTTTGACGCCTCAGGGAACTGGCGACGCCACGTGTCCGTCAGGCGTCCAAAGCAGCACTAGGTGGACTGCGGGCCTCCTCACTGCTCACCAGCGCGGTCGCCGGTACGGAGGACGTAAGCGCAGGGACCAAAACCTCCACCGCGCTGACGCGCAGTGTACCACTCACGAAGCTGCTGAGGGGACATGGTCACACCACTCCGCTGCTGCTGGTGGCGTTGACCACCACATGCGCCACTCCTCTACGCAGAGTCGCGACCCGCTCCACCACTGCCGCCTCCGCCGCCGCCGCCGCCGCCTCCTCCACCTCCGCCTCCTCCACTACCTCCGCCTCCTCCACTACCTCGGCCGCCTCCACTGCTGCTACCGCCGCCGCCACCCCCAGCACCACTCCCACTACCACCCCCACTCCCTCCACTGCCTCCACCACCACCTCCACCGCCCCCTCCAGTCCCTCTGGCGCCCATGCCCCCCTTGCCCTTGCCGGTGCGGCGTCTCCCGCTCGGGGCAGACGCAGCGCCGACCGACTCAAAACCATCGAGGTCGGCCGCAGCAGCAGAGGCAACAAAGGGCAAGAGGGGGGAAGGAGAACACCCCTCAAAGACGGGGGTGCGAGGGTCACCAGGAGAGGCTCCTTTAGCAACTATGCTCTTCTCCATCGCTAGGAGGGCCTTCTCGAGGAGGTCAACTGTGAGAGTGGTGGGGCAAACTGAGAGGAAGTGGTCCCTGACTACGCGGAGAGAGTTAGGGAGCCGGGTGACTATGTAGTAGAGGGTGATGTACATGACGGGGGGGGTTCTTGGCGCAGAACTCAGCAGGATGCGCAGCGCGGTAGCGAGTGTCAAGAGAGCGGAGGTGCGTAATGAGGTCAGCGACTATGGAAAGGCAGCAAGGTCAGGGAAGAGGTACGTTCGCATGAGGCGGCTCAGTGCAGCAGTGAAAGGGAAGAGTAGCGTGCAACTACGCGTCGTACAAGGTCTGAGCACTCTTGTACTGGCTAAAGTGTGCACGCTCAGTGGTCAGTAAGTGGCGGCGCACAGCAAGGCGAGCAGCAGCATCGCGCGTGGCCCACTGTGAGCGAACAGTGGCGTCAGCATCAGCAGCAGGGGCAGGAGAGGCACCAGAAGTGAGGTCAAACAGGGAGAGGCCGTCCGCCCTATCGCACTGAAGAAACAGCTGGAGGTCATTGACCCAGACCTCAAAGTCAATCGCACGGCCCTTAGCATCAAAAGTGAGGACACTGGGGGTAGCCATGACTGCAGTGGCCTATACAAAGACGGGTACGTCCTGACCTGGAGACGGGTGTCTCCCATCCCCTCATAACAACACCCTTCGGCTTCTTAGTATTTCCCTGCTGTTGCTCTCCTCCCTCGGATCCAGCAGCTCCATTTGTGCTACCGCTAGTCTCCAAACCATCACCTTCACCAGCAGGTGCCTCCTGCACCTTCTCTCCATCACCACCCTCTGCAGCTACCTCCTCTCCCTTCTCCCACACACTAGGAGTCAGGTCCAGCTACATGGTGATCTGCTCCTTCTGCTGGGACACCCTGGCCTCTGGCTGTTTCTCCCAGCTCCCATACATCATGCCTTCAACAAACTTCACATCCCTGCTGTCAAATAACACACCCTTGAAAGGTTCCCACAGCAGTCATCCTTTGCTCTCAGCAGCCAGCCCCAAATGCACACACCAGATTGCACTTGCCCCCAACTTACTGCGGTAGGTCTTGGGGACGTGGGCGACTGCCATGCAACCGAACACCCTCAGCATGTCCACCGGCGGCTTCCTCCCAAGCCACCTCTCCAACGGCACCCACGAGTCATCCCCAACCTTGGTGAGTACCCTGTTTCTAGCGACAGTAGCGTGCCGAACAGCATGGGGCCACATCAAGTTGCCCAGCCCAGATTCTATGAGCAGCGCCCTAGCTGTCTCCAGAATTGTCCGGTTCGCCCGTTCTGCTACACCGTTAGACTGTGGGGTGTAAGCCGTGGTCAGCTCCCTCTGGATGCCCTGCTTCTTGAGCCAGGCCGTCATCTCAGCTCCAAGGAACTCACCACCCCGATCTGTCCTAATCCGCTTCACCACACACTCCGCTTGCTTCTCCACGAATGGCAGCCAATCTTCCCTTATCGTAGAGGCGGCATGGTCCTTCTGCTTCAGCGGATATGCCCACACAAGCCTGCTCCAATCATCCACTATGGTCAGAAAGTACCGCTCCCCCTTGTGTCCCTGAACCGGCAGCGGCCCCACCAAGTCCATGGGGACCAGCTCCAACGGCTTCTTGCTCATGCCAGCGACATCATGGAAGGGGAAACAGGTAAACTTTGAGAGCAAACAGATTTCATAATTCTCATCAAGTGGCTGTCCGTTCAGCTTCAGACCCTTAACGGCTCCATCTTTCTCTAACTGCTTCAACAAGGGCATTGCCACATGCCCCAAGCGTTGGTGTGCCGTTGCCCAATCCGTCTCCCCAGATCTGGCCGACACTTTCACACCAACTACTCCAACGGCGTTGCACTGTTAGGTGGAAATTCACATTGCACGACATCCTGCCGTCTGTTTGTACGAGTATGCGTGTGCGAATGCATTTGCGTGTGAATAGTATGTTCGTGTCTTTGTTTGCTTTCGCAATTTTCGCTTGAAGCATTTGCAGGTACTCGCACAATGTGCGCTTCGGCATAACATTGTACGCGCTATGAACAGTACAAGCAGAAAGGACGAGCTCGCAAAGGAACCCAAGGTGGAAGCTTTGCGGTTCAACTTACTTGATTGCGCAGATTCAGTTCTATCTAACTCGAAATTGTACTGTTTTGTTTGGTTGACTATAGTGTAGCAGGGCAGGCACTATAGAGGTACAATTTAGGTGAAGGTTGGATGTTGTTTGTCTGTATCTGCATGCTACAGGGCCAGGGGAAACCAGCGGAACCAGCATTTGGCTGGTTGGGCAAAGACAAAACAGGTTCTGTTTTTAGGACCTGATCCTGGTTGTTTTCCCAGGTTGGAAAAACAGAACCAGAGGTTGTTTACCAACCTACTACCTGCTGTTTTGTCCAGCCAGGTTGGTTCTGTTGCTTGGAATTATTTGGGATCATCCCTAGTTGTTCCCAGGTTTATTCCCAAGGTCCATGCTAGCTAGAACTAGATATTCCTTCTCTGTTTGTACCTGAATATAGTGAAATTGATTTAAGCGAATTCCTTTCTTGATGGAATTTCGTTTCTACGCGGTGCGACGGTGGAATGCTACCCGAGTCAACGCTAGTACGCTAGCACTCCAACGCTAGGCTAACGCTGTCCGAGCCATAACTTCGTAATGGCAGAACTTTTCGCGAGGCAACTTGGCTTTTTTTAAAGCTCTTAGAGTGAGCTTCGATATAGGAAATTCTCGGCTTAATCCGATCGACGGTCTGCACGATACGCTGCGCGACGTTCAAGGTACTCTTGCTGTTTGGACTTAGTCCCTCTTGATCCCTCTCTCTACAAACTCGGACCCGAGGATAGGGGCTGGTCTTGTACCAGGCACCCAAGGACCCTTGGAGGTGACCCCGAGGAGAGGTTTTAAGTTTGATAAAGTCTTAATAGCTTGAGTTTATTAGGCCCTTACACCAACAAGCTGGTATCCGAGCTGCGTTATAGTGATCCTCGATATAGGTAGCTATGGCGGGGAACACCTCGGCGGTAGCTGGTGAATCTTCAGCCCAAGATCGTAGCGGCAGCCATGATTCTGGTGTTTCTGCGCCAAGGGGAGCGCGAACAAGCCAGGGCTCGCTGATCAAGGAGGTGCTGAAAAACTTCACCGTCGAGAAGTTCAATGGTGAGGGCTATGATGATTGGGCCTGGAAAATGCAACTTTATTTCCGTCAGATCGGATTTCTGAAACTAATGATTGGGGAGGAGCCTAGACCGAGTGACCCCGCTCTTCAGGAAGATTGGGACGAGAGCGCCTCGGCTGGCTACTACTTGATGTCGCAGAGTTTGGAGCTGAACCAGCGTCACCACGTCATGCACCTGCTGCCGGAGGTTGAGTGCGGTCCGAAGGCGTGGACGGTGTTGAAGGAGCTGCACGCCCCTACCTCCGTCGCTGCGACGCTCATGATGGAGAGGGAGCTGTCTGCGGTGCGCCTAAGCGAGGGAGAGCCTGTACAACCCATCCTGGACAAGATGCGTGATCTCTACGCGAAGCTGGCGATCGCGGGAATCACCTACCCGGAGCAGACCAAGTGCCTGAAGATGCTATCGCTGCTGCCGGAATCGTGGCTTCAATTCACGAGCGGATTGAGCCTGCCGCAGAACCAGAGCTTGTGGACGCTCGAGTGGGTGCGGACGAAGATTCTGGAGGAGGACTTCCGTCGCCGCCAACTGAGGGGTGGAGACGACGGCAGCAGCGGCTACGGGATGCAAGGGAGCCGACGTGGCAAAGGACGTGGCTTCAGTGGTGCTGGACGCGGTGCAAAGAAAGACGACGAGTCCAACGACCAACAAGGAGGTACCGGTTGGGGTCGCGGTGCGAAATCTGGACGTGGGGGCAAGTCGGGTGCTGGTGGCAAAATGAAAGGGAGTTGCTGGTATTGTGAGAAGGAAGGGCACCCCTGGTTTTTGTGCTATAAGAAACCCGATGGATGGACCCCCCAGAATCGTCACCAGGATGGCGGCGCGCGGAGGAACCAGAAAACGGCGCCAACATGGTCGCTGATTCGTCCGACAACAACCCAAAGGGCAACGGCGGTGCGGAGAAGAAGAAGGAGCGCACCGCGGGCCAATTCTTCCATGTGGGAGACAACGGGGAGCAAGGAGACGCATCTGCTAAGGTTGGAGCAGAGCTGCACCCCTTGGACTATTGGGTGTTGGACACAGGCGCTGCTTGGACAATGACGCCGCGCAAGGACCTGCTGGACGACGTACGCGCTGCACCGATTAATGAGGTGTGTTCTGCCTCTGGACACATGTTGAAGGTGGCTGGTGCGGGACGAGCTGCGTTTAAGGGAGCGGATGGCAAGCCGGTGGTGCTGCACGACGTTCTCCTCGTCCCCGACCTGAAGGCCAACCTTATCTCCCTCCGTAAGCTTGGCAAGGCTGGGGTGAACACCAACACGGATGGGGCACGCACTTATAAGGGGAAGCTGGGCAATCGGGTGCTTTGGGATCTGCACGAGAGCAAGGACGTGTACAGATCTATGTGGCAGCTGCCGGCGCTGGCGTGGCACGGTGGGGGGCAGGCTGGAGAGGGGTCTGCATCCCAGGGGGAGTGCAACGCCGTTGGAGGGGTTGGTGTGAAAGTGTCGGCCAGATCTGGGGAGACAGATTGGGCAACTGCACACCGACGTTTGGGGCATGTGGCAATGCCTTTGCTGAAGCAGCTGGAGAAGGATGGAGCCGTTAAGGGCTTGAAGCTGAACGGACAACCACCCGATGATAACTGTGAAATTTGCCTCCTTTCAAAGTTCACCCGTTTCCCCTTCCATAGTGTGGCTGGCAGGAGCAAAAAGCCGTTGGAGCTGGTCCACATGGACTTGGTGGGGCCGCTGCCGGTGCAAGGGCACAAGGGGGAGCGGTACTTCCTAACCATAGTGGATGACTGGAGCAGGCTAATGTGGACGTATCCGCTGAAGTAGAAACATCACGCCGCCTCCACGATTCGGGACGATTGGCTGCCGTTCGTGGAGAAGCAAGCGGAGTGTGCGGTGAAGCGGATTAGGACAGATCAGGGTGGTGAGTTCCTTGGAGCTGAGATGACGGCCTGGCTCAAGAAGCAGGGCATCCAGAGGGAGGTGACCACGGCTTACACCCCACAGTCCAACGGTGTAGCAGAACGGGCGAACCGGACAATTCTGGAGACAGCTAGGGCGCTGCTCATAGAATCTGGGCTGGGCAACTTGATGTGGCCCCATGCTGTTCGGCACGCAACTGTCGCTAGGAACAGGGTACTCACAAAGGTTGGGGATGACTCGTGGGTGCCGTTGGAGAGGTGGCTTGGGAGGAAGCCGCCGGTGGACATGCTGAGGGTGTTCGGTTGCATGGCAGTCGCCCACGTCCCCAAGACCTACCGCAGTAAGTTGGGGGCGAGTGCAATCTGGTGTGTGCATTTGGGGCTGGCTGCTGAGAGCAAGGGATGGCTGCTGTGGGAGCCTTCCAAGGGTGTGTTGTTTGATAGCAGGGATGTGAAGTTTGTTGAGGGCATGATGTATGGGAGCTGGGAGAAACACCCGGAGGCCAGGGTGTCCCAGCAGATGGAGCAGATCACCATGCAGCTGGACCTGAC